CAGTGGGCAGGGAGGAACGTGAACAACAATGTTCACATTCGGAAATAAAAATAAATAAATATTTTTTTTAAAAAGGGGGATGTCCCAGTAAACTTTCCTGGCTACAAGATTCATTAACACACTGCCACACACTTTTAATTGATGACCGTGCTTACAATTTTTCCGATGTATCATCATGATTTGCAGCAACGTTTTAATTAGAATAAGGTGATCACTCCCGATATTAACTGCCTAGCAAAAGAAAATTCTCTTTGGAAAATGAAGTAAATATATTTATATATTACATATAGTAGTTTAAAAAAAATATCAAGGGTGCCAAAATAGAGAACCAAAGGACCAACTACAGCAGGCCTTGGGGTATAGGGAGGTGGGGGAAGGGTAATGGGGAACAGAACTGAGACTTTTAAGTAATTAAGATGCTGGAGTTATCAGACACAGCTTTTAAAGTATCTGATTAATATATAGAAAAAAAATTTAATAATTTTTAAACTATCAAAAAAGAGTAAAATAAAAAATTATACATTGTATAACCAAGGAGATACAAAACAAAATTAAAAACTCAATAGGTTTAACAGTGAATTACTTCAGTTTCTTCCTTAAAAGCCTATAATTCATTCTTTCAATATACTCTTAGCTCTGTGACTCAGCAGAACAGAGAATAAATTACCTAGAACATAGATCCATAGAACTATGAGTTTAAGAATGAAGGGGATAAAATGTTCATGTTCAAACATAAAACAAATCAATCATACATGTTAATATTCCTATCCCTCTCACCAGAAAAACCTTTAAGTACTGGGAAATTCTTAAACTCATACTAAAGTTTTTCAATCTAGGTTTGGGATAAAAGCTCGAACTTTTTCACTAGCCATAAGTATCTTCAACTGTTTTCCTTGAAGTGATGGTTTCATTTCTTTAGGAAAATGTCTAAAGAGGAAAACTAAATATATATTGTGACTTTCATTCCCACAGTGATAGAGCAGGTGACATAGAACTGGAATTCCTACAGAGAAAAAAATTGCAATTTGAAAAAACAGTTACTTGAAAGCAATAAAGAATCAATTGAAGAAGAACTTGAAAGACCAAAACTTTGGAGATAAAAGAAATATACTGAGGCAAAATCAAAATTTTATTTCACTAGAAAGCATTTTTAATTTTATTCTTTCTACTTTTTGTATTTGTCAATTTCATAAAGTCAATCTTTACTTCTTGGTAAAAAAAAACTTCTGAAAAGGAAAAAAAACCAGCTTTTCCAATTTTCCACCTTAATTGTCAGTGAAATATTTTAAGTAAGTATGCTTTGTCTTTTAAAATAAAAAATAGTACATAGGAAATTGAAAACTTAAATTATTGCAAAAAAAAAGACATGGAACTTTTTAGGATAATAGAAATGTTCTATATCTTGATTGAGGTAGTAGTAACACAGTTGAAGATATTCATAATTCACTGAATTAGGGATTTAAGAATGAACTCTACTAAAGGCAAATTATACCCCAATTGGCTTTGTTTTAGTAATTATTATTACACAGATAGAAGCAATGAGAAAAGAACATTATTTATACAGTACCTACAAATTCCACAGCGTTCACAATGATACTGCTTTTTGTCTTTATCAAATAGGTGACATATATTACAATAATATTCTCCAAACAACGTGCTACATTCTTCACAAATCTGCTGGGCCTACAAAAAAACACATTTATTAAGAATTTGAATAAATAAGCCAAACACTTTAACATTTGAATATTCCGAATTTAAAGCACATAGAATTTTCTTTTAGGTTTTTAAAGATCTTAATCAAAGACACTGCTTACTCTAAGAATTAAAAAGGTATTGTTTATACTACTTGAATAAATGTTTTTCAAATAAGTTTTGTTTTAAAAAGAGTACATAAAATAGAAATATCAGATCTTACATGTTGAATTTTTTCACAGTTTATACACTGCACTTCCTTTACTTTAAAACGGTCCAGCTGATGATCTTCATTGTTATCATGACACAACCGGCAAGTATAAAGCTTGTCACAGCAAGGCGCCTAACCCACAGAGGAGAAAAACTGTTATATGAGGAAAGAAAACAAGCTTATGACATCTAAAGAAAATTTCCTTGTCCACTTGGAACAAGGTTAAAGATTACAACAAGGTTAAAGTTAAGAAACTGGTCCAAAACTTAACAGTGCACTATTTCATAGTATATTTTATACAATGAGCAAGCACTTCATTATCACATCTATATGAAGTTGAATGAACAACTCTGGCCTTAAAGTCAAATGGGAATCCCTAACCTAAAAATTGCTCCTACAACATCCTGAGTCAACCATTTTGAGTAATAATACATGAGTTCCTTGTTTTTTAATGCAGCATAGTATTCCACTGTGCGAATATACCACAGCTTCGTTAGCCATTCGTTTGTTGATGGGCACTTAGGTTGTTTCCAACTCCTTGCTATTGTGAACAAAGCTGCAATAAACATGGGTGTGCATATATCTGCTTGGATGTCAGTTATGGTCTCTTCTGGGTATATTCCCAGTAGTGGTATTGCGGGGTCAAATGGTATCTCTATTTGCAACTTTTTGAGAAAGCGCCATACCACTTTCCACAGGGGTTGCACCATTTTACACTCCTACCAACAGTGAATAAGGGTTCCAATTTCTCCACAACCTCACCAGCATTTATTGCTTGCTGTTCTGTTAAATTTTGCTATTTTGACTGGGGTGAGATGATATCTCATAGTTGTTTTAATTTGCATCTCTCTTAGGGCTAGGGATTTTGAGCATTTCTTCATGTGCTTGTTAAAAAAAAAAGCAGCATGGTACTGGTACAATGACAGACACATAGATCAATGTAATAGAATTGAGAATCCAGAGATCAACCCATCTATCTATGGTCAACTGATTTTTGACAAGAAAATTAAATCAGTGAAGTGGGGAAATGACAGCCTTTTTAACAAATGGTGTTGGCAAAATCGGGAAAATATCTGCAAAAGACTCAAGCAAGACCCACACCTCACTCCATACACAAAAACCAACTCAAGGTGGATCATGGACCTAGGACTAAAACCAAGGACTATAAACTTCATTACAGAAAAGCTAGGAACAACACTAGAAATCCTAATCCACAACATAAACAGTCTTCCCAGTATCCTGGAAAACCTACAACCAGGAGAAGATAACGTAGATGAATGGGATCTTCTAAGACTCAAATCCCTATGCACATCCAAAAACTTCTCCAACAGGTAAAAAGGGAGGCCACTAACTGGGAAAAAGTATTTGGTAATAGCATATCAGATAAGGGACTTATATCCAAAATTTATGAAATACTTGAGCACCACAACAAGATAAAGGTAAAGAATCCAACAGAAAAATGGGCACAGGATATGATGAACAGGCACTTCACCTAAGACGACATTCAGATCCTACAACATCCTAATCTAAGTTTCAGTCTCACTACCAGTTACTGTGTCTCTTCCAGGTAAACTTATTTATATACTTAAACCTGTAAAAATTCAAAATCTTAAGTTTAGTTCACTAGGATTAATAGCAGTGCCAACGCAAAGGCAGGCAACTCAAATCCACCAATCACTCCATTAAAGAAAGATGGGCAATCTTTTTCCAAACAATTTACAGACTCTGAAAACCTGCTGGAGGGTCACCTATGAGTCAGTTACAACTCAGTGGCAATGAGAATTTTGAGTATTTACTAAATAAACTCTGGGGTACCATAGTTAAGTGCTCAGCTGCTAATCAAAAGATCAGTAGTTCAAATTCATAAGCTGCTAAAGGGCACTACTCAGCTTTTATAAAAATTTACAGCACTGGAAACATCCTGAATTCTCCATAAATAACATACTTGCTATGTGTCAGAAAGCTGGACAATGACATGGAATGATAGAAGTAAAATTGATGCCATTGAGCTGTGGTGATGGAGAAAACAAACAGGTTCATCCTAGAGAGGGTGAAACTAGGCTACTGAAGCTTTGTCTAACATACTGAGGACATGATGCAAGGAGGGACCAGTCCTTGGAGAGAGATGTCATGCTTGAGAGGGTAGAGGGACAACGCAAGACAGAAAACCCTTAATTAGATGGATTTATTTATTCAGTTACTAGAGTAATGGGGGTAGCTGTGTTGGAGACAGTAAGATCGGTATAGGACAGAAAAGAGTATAGGGCTGTTGTACATAGGTTCACTATGAGTGACAACATATTTTAAGACAACTACCATAAATAAATATTAATAAAATATATCATAAAATACTGAATTTGAAAAAAATTTTAATTTTAAAAAACCCTATAATTTTTTTAAAAAAATTAAACACCTGCATTTTCATATCCTTTTCTGTACTTTAACCAGTTATACACTGTTGTGGTTGAAATACATGAACAAACTCTGGTCTCACATAAATATGTATCAAAAAAGGACGAGTATTTTAACAGCATTTTCAGAGTAACTGTGGATACTCATCTGATCAGAAAAATCTTTATGTTTGAAAAGTATTTAAGCTCACAATGACTATTTAAAATTTTCTAAAATTTTAAGTTTGGGACAAAAGTACAATTATATTTTTGGTTTTTTTACTACTGGAAACAAATAATAGTGACCTTTTCAAGTGACAGTCTCATTTCCTTTTCAAGAAAATGTCTGCTAAATATTCAGTTCTGAATAATCAGTTTTTTCCAGATAAAAAAAAGCTCAATGGAAAAAATGGTTAGTTCAGCTCATAACTGCATAATTCCTTAAGACAGCCATACTTCAATTTGCTTAAGTGCTTGATGAAAATTTATTTCATCCATTATGACTAAAAATTATATATTCAATAGCTGAAATTGAAAAAAACTCATGTTGTCTATGGTAAGTGAAATTAGCTTCTAGCACAGGTATACTACAATTCTGGGTTACTACCTTTTATTGTACTAAGTGAAGTTAAGCAAATCATGGGTTTACTCAGTGCAAATGTCAACACACTATAAAAAATGGTTCATGTTGTGATTTATTAGTTAATAAAAAAAATACGTGATCTCAGAGAGACACCCTCCCCAGGGATCAGACCAATTCACCGAAGTTTAACAATAGTTGCACTAGCATAAACAAGAAGTCCACCTTCTTTGTAAATCAATTTTAAACACAAAATTCTCAATTCTTAGATCACTATGTCTACCTAACTCCAATTCTCTCCCTTGTGTGAACCCTAAACTCTATTATCTCTTTCTTCCCTACATATACTTTGTGCAAAACCCAAATTTTTGGTTAAATCTATCTCGCTCCTATTCAACGGATAGAAGAATATGAGAAAAAAGCACCATCATGCTAACTGGTTTCACTTTGAAATTAACATTAATAAAATGTAGGTCCTTACGACACTATTTCCCTGGTCAATACCTTCATTTCGTGATTAATATCTAAGCACTAGATGATTATGTCACATCTTTTCCGTTCTCTTCAAATCTTGAACATCTCTCTTCCTTGCACTCTGCTGATAACCTTATTTTACAAAGAAAATAAAAATAAAAGAGAATATCTACACAACTTCCTCACTATAACCTACTTAAAAATGTATCTCGTGTTCTGCCTCACTGTCTAATACAGTAAGTATACAATTCATGCTTTTAAGGCCAATGCCTCCATTTGTGCACAGGAGCCTACCTCTGTTCTGGCTACTGAAGGTTAGTTTTAACTACACTTGTCTCCTTTCTCTCCTACACTATAAAATTTGCACTTTACCAGATCACCCCAACAGCATATCAACATGCTGCAAAATTTCCCATATTAAAAAGGAAATATCTTGTAATCCCTATCTCCCAGTAACCACAGGTTCATATTTTTGCTCTGCAAAGGCCACATCCCTCTGGCAGTCTGAATCCACCAGTGGTTCTTCAGGAGAAATAAAGGAAAACCTCTCTTGTGGAATTTACAGCCTCAGAAAACCAATAAAGAATCAGCTATGAGTCAGTTCCAACTTGATGGCAATGAGCTGAGTAACAGCTATCAAACACAAATTGTTGTTGTTGTTGTTGTTGTTGTTGTTATGTGCCATCGAGTCGTTTCAGACTCATAGCGACCCTATGTACAACAGCTCTAAACCCTGCCCTATCCTGCGCCAACAGCATCACCTCCGACACACCCATCCCGATTACCCCAGTCACCGAATCAATCCATCTCATAGAGGGTCTTCCCCTCCTGCGCTGTCCCTCCACCCTCCCAAGCATGATGTCCCTCTCCAAGGACCCGTCCCTCCTGGCAACATGTCCAAAGTATGTCAGACGAAGCCCCAGAATCCTTGCCTCCAAGGAGCAGCTTGGTTTAATCCTCTCCAAGATGGATCTGTTTGTTTTCCTGGCAGTCCAGGGTACATTCAGTACCCTTCTCCAGCACCACAGCTCAAAAGCATCCACTCTCCTTCTGTCCTCCCTAGTCATTGTCCAACTCTCTGATGCATAACAAGCGATTGCAAATACCATGACCTGTATCAGGCACACCTTAGTCTCCAGAGAGACACTGTTGCTCCTGAGTACGTTTGAGAGGTCCCTAACGGCAGACTTTCCCATCGCGATACGCTTTTTGATTTCCTGACTGCTGGTACCAAGAGTGTTAACTGTGGAGCCGAGCAAAGTGAAGCTGTGAACACTCTCAATCTCTTCATCATCCATCCTGACGCTGCCAGTTGAGTAGGGGTCCTCCAGCCTCCCTCCAGTGCTGGAGTTCAGGCCGGCACGCCTACGCGGCCTCTGCCACCGCTGGTGGGGTTTCACACGGGGACCCGACCCGGGACCCGACCCGGCTTGTGCTCTCTCTCTCACAAATTAGCTGTGTGCTTTCTAATGGGAGACTTGAGTGGGAAAGTATGATCAAGCTACTGAATTCAGTTTCGACTTACAGTTAGAAATAAAAACAGTTCATCTCAACAGACACAAAATCTCAAGGATCATATTCAAATTACTTATATAACAACTGGTGAATAACTTTGAAAGAGCTTCAGTGTAATGGAGCAAACCATGGTCTATAGAAAAATTGTTAGGTTGTCCTTATTACATGGCTGAGCCTATCACTTCCTTACAATGACTGTGGTCATTTTATCAATAAAGGACTGATAAATTGAAATGCATATACATGTATGTACACACACACAATTAATTATCACCATCATTATCATGATTGCTGTTGTTAGGTCCTGTCAAGTACAATGCATAGCAACCCTATGAACAAGAGATTTGAACCCTGTCTTATCCTGTGCCGTTCTTATACTTCCTGATACATCAGAGCCCATTGTGGCAGTCACCATTATCAATCCACCTGGTTAAATTTTCCTCTCCTTTGGCGACACTCTACCTTTCTGGGCATCTAAGGAAAAACTCCTCCTAGTAACAAGCTGAAAGTATGTGAGGCAAAGCCTCATCATCCTTGCCTCCAAAGAGCACTCTGGCTGCACCCTCTCCAAGACATAGTTGTTTGTTCTTTTGACAGTCCATGGGATATTCAGTGGTCTTCTCCAACATCACAACTCAAAGGCATCAATTCTTCTGTCATCCTTATTCACTGTCCAGCTCTCAGATGCTCAGCAAGTGATCTGAAGACAGCCTAAACCAGACGCATCTTATCATCATGACAGCACTCAAGTTTCTAACTGGCTTACTCTAGTGGGGGGAAAAAATCCCTAGTTGTGTAGTAGTAGTAGTTAAGCCCTCAGCTATTGCCATAAAGCCCGTGATTTCAAACCCACCAACCACTTCATGGGAGAAACAGGTAGTAGCAATCTACTTCTGTAAAGACTATGGGATTGGATTGGAGCTTACTCCAAGGAATGTACCTTGTTAAATACTATACAAGGAGCCCTAGTTAAACAGTGGTTAAAACACTCAGCTGTAAACTAAAAAGCTGCTGGTTTGGAGAAAGATGTCAGTTGGCTTCCTCAAAGGTCACAGTCTTGGATGAAAGGAAGAAAGCGAATGGGGAATAAATATTAATAGATAACAGGATGAAGGGAAGGCACTCTGTAAAGGGTTGATTAGAGACTGGAATTCATTAATTACACTAATATATTTTTGTTGTTGAGAACTGTCTAGTAGGAATCAACTCATAGCTGATCGATCCCCCAGTGGGTTTTCAGAGGCAGTTAATCACAGGTGATGTGCAAACTCCCTTGCCTTCAGGATGGCAGAGCAGTTTCTCACCACTACAGCTGTTACATTTTAAGTAATGTTATAAAATGTGTACAAATGATCCAATGAAAAACCAGTAAGCTCTGTAAACTTTTCACTCAAAAGAAAACTATAGATCACAGTCTTGGATATCCTAAGGGACAATTCTACTTCTCTAGTGTAGTTACAAGTAGGAAAAAAGACCACTCACACAATATATGAACGTTTACACCTTTCATATGAAGTAGGAATTAACGTCCCTATTTGCTCTGGGGGCTCGAAACTGCGCTGCAATCCCAAAGGTACACAGTTTAAATACACCAGCTGCTCCGCAGAAGAAAAAAGGCAATCTCCTCCAGTGTGATTGAAAGCCTCTGAAAACCCCTGCAGGATGGTCAGCCAAGGATCCCTTCTGAGTCAAGGGCACATGTGTTACATATAGGAAACTCTTGTAACCTAGTAGGCACGGAGTTGCACTGAGAACTCAAACACAGTTCAAATCCACCACAGTTTCCCGGTGGGATAAAGATGGGAAATCTCTTCCCTGTGCAATTTGCAGCCTCGGAAAACCCGCTGGAGGGTCAGTGGTCAGTCGGTTTCTGGGGCACAGGGCGTTTGATACGTGGGACATAACCTGCTCAAAACCATATCCGGGATCACAGATTGTATTTTGGCGATAGAGCAATGAGAGTCCAAATCTCAAGCTCCAAGAAAAATCTGGCAATTTCTATTGAACGGGTGCCAATTTTAAAAATTCTAGATTGGCTATGACGTGTTCTCAAGGTAAACAGAGAAAGCTGCAGTACACGGACCTCCTGATGCATAAAAGCAACTCTATTAAACTTAACTTCCTAATTAAAGCCACTTGCATGCTTGTCTTATATTCCTGGCAGGTTCAGGCATAAGCACGAACTAAAACGTGGCTGGCAGCCTGCAAAACTTATTTCCTTCCTCAAGGAGCTGAAATGTCAAAATTCTCCACTTGTTTGGCGCTCCTTTCCAATAAGTACCTCATCATACACCGAGACGGTTCTGGGTTCGAAAGAAGGCCAGCAGAGGCCCAGGGATGCCTCAGAGTCGTGCCATGCAAAATAAGAAAAAGGGGCTTTTTCTTATTTTGCAAAATATAAAGCAAAGAGAGAAAACTCAGGCCTCTGACCGCCTTCCCAAAGACGTATTCTGGAGCAGGAACCCAGTTCGAGGCGGCGGGGAGTAACGGGTACCCTGACACACAGCTGCGTCTCAAAGCCCCAACCTCACCACCTGGCCCGCCCCCAAGCCCAGCCCGACGGACGCTCTGCGGGCAAGAGCCCACGGAAGCCGTCACCTTCAAGAGACATCCTCTGTCATAATGCTCACAGCCCCGCCGGCCCGGCTCCGCTCGGCAGCTGCCATCTTGCCCCGCCGTGGCCGCCATCGCCTCCACCGCCCCTCACAGCCACGGCCCCTTGCCCACCGGAGTGGAAGCCACGCCCCGGGCGCCAGCGCAACTCGAGCCCCCTCCGCCCGCAACAGCCGCCCAAGTGAATATGGCGCGGGTGCACGTGACCCGGGGCGACCGGATTTCCGCTTCGCGGGGCGACGGGGGGGGGGCCCGAAGCAAAGGGAGTTGCAATTTCGGGGAGCCGCAATCCCTCGGCGGTGTTAGTTGCTGGCTCCTCTGCTAACGGTAACGATTCTTAGGTTGCCTCATCTTTTCCCCCCTTCGCTACCCGCCGACGTCCTGGGGCGTAGTTCGGAGCAGGGAGGACCGCTGCGGCGTAGAGACGCCTGGTGGACCCTGAAGAAAGCTCTGTCTGGCCGCATCTGCACCTGTGACAGGGCGGCCCCTCCCTCTGTCCACCTCGGCTTTACGGGGACTCCAAGGAAGGGCGGAGCGCACCCAGCGCCGAGCTCCCAGCGGGTCTGCAGCGAGCGCTGTAGGTGGGCAGTTGGCCGGCTCCCCGCACTGCTTTCTCCCCCCAGGAAGAAAATGAACCTCTTCCTTTGCTTGCTCTTCACTCACAATGTGTATTAATGTTTACTGTGTGTCAAACCACCAGCTAAACCGTCAGGATTTCAGTTCTTAAAAGAAGTTACTAAAAAAAAAAAAAAAAAGGCACGCCCTGCTCTGACCTCACAGAACTCAGAAGGAAAACAGTGATCTGACACTAACTAAAAGGAAGGTTACAGCGTTGAGAAGGACATGGGAAGGAGAGGAATTCTATGAAATGTATTGGAGATGATCGCCCTTAGTCTCGGTATCAGGCAGGAATGTTTCCCTAGGAAAGGATTCGTGTTGAAGACTGAAGAAAGAGTGGGAGTTAGATTGCTAGCCGGCTGTGTGCAAAACAGCTGGTGGGAACCAGACACAAGGAAGAGCTGATGAAAGGGAAATAGACAACAAGCAATTTTAGGCGCCTCACGTGCGTAGCTAAATATTACTCTGCTTGTTAATGAATTCTCTAGCCTTGGAAATGTTTATGAGCAAAGCTGTTCAGTGTTGCGCCTTTCACTTCCTAACGTAATTTCCTATTTCCTAAACATAAATGGAGTGTCTTCCATTAAATATTTTAAGTTACTAACTTGACTTTCATTTTGTTTCAGTTTTGTTATGAACTGCTAAAATCATGGTGAAATGTTGCTCGGCCATTGGATGTGCTTCTCGCTGTTTACCAAATTCCAAGTTAAAAGGATTGACGTTTCACGTGTAAGATTTGTGTTGTTAACCCAAGTACTTTTGACTGTTAATAAGAAGCAAAAGACACTGTGACTTAAAATATTTAATTTTGGCTTCAGTTACCAACTTCTTTTTAAATTAACTTTTTAATTAAGTTTTAAGTGGCAGTAATTATAACCTTTACAGTTTTCTAATTAATCGAGGAGATATCTGTAGAAGATTCTGAGTCTGGTTAACAAAAATATCAGTCTTGATTTTGCTTTTATTCTGCTTTTTTAGTATGTTCAAAGAAATTCATTGCTGTTAATGAGGAGCTTTTATTGGAATGATTTTCGCCCAAGTATATATATATCTAGAAACTGATCAGGTTTGCACTGTAGGGGAAAACATACTACAAGTTCAAATCAAAAGTTCCGTGGCAGATAAATCAAGGTGATTCTAATTTAGTATTTTTTACATTCTCGTGACACCATGGAAGAGCAGAGTTTAATAATTGTTTGATAAAAGTTTGTTTTGCCACTTTTGTACCAGATATTATGCTATGGGCTAAAGAAAAATCTGATTGTTACTCTGTTAGTTAATAGAAAATTAATACCAGAAAAAAATGCCCATCTTCCTTCCACAGAGAAGCTGGTGATTTCAAGCAGCCAGAGAGATACCGTTGGATTAACAGCAAAACCTCCAACGGACTATGCCACCAGAACTCCCCTAATTCAACTATGGCCAAGTGATATTTTCTACCTTTAGAGGAGCAAACCTCTTTAGTTTTGGATCTTACTATAAAGTGGTAAAGATCATTAAAATGTGTCTTCCTTGTAATATGAAATATTGATATCAAGGCTATATCTGCAGCATAGCACCATACTTCAAATAGTAAAATACCTGAAATACCTTTGAATGTTTCAAATACCTGAAAGACATGAAATTATGAATCATAATGGTTTCCTGAATATTTCAATTTCCAAAGTAATAATTAATAGACTAGTTAAATTTTTGCTGTAGTCACAAATAAGACAACCTTCGTTCAAATATACATCAATAGTGTTCCATTTTAGAATGTATTTCTTTTTTCCCCCTAGGTTCCCCACAGATGAACACATGAAAAGAAAATGGGTTTTAGCAATGAAAAGACTTGATGTGAATACTGCAGGTATTTGGGAGCCTAAAAAAGGAGATGTGTTGTGTTCAAGACACTTTAAAAAGGCAGATTTTGATAGAAGTGCTCCAAATATAAAACTCAAACCTGGAGTCATACCTTCTGTCTTTGATTCCCCATCTCATTTGAAGGTCTGTTTACAAGATATTGTTTTCCATCATTATGGTTTTAGTTTGGGTCATAGTTCAGTCAGGTATTAGGTAGTTTCAGTCAGGTTTTTCTGAAAAACTTTTCACCACTCTACCGACCATTTTTTGTTTCCTTTTAAAAGTCTATCCTTTGATTTTTTTTTTTTTTTAAGTTTGTAGAGACATCACAGAAGAAGAAGACTCCAAAAGAGATGGATTGACACAGTAATTGGGGCAATGGGATTAGGTGTGTCAAAGTTCGTGAAGCTTGCTCAGGATAGGTCAGGTTCAAAGCAGTTAAATTTACAGAGCCTGACTGTGAGTCATGGGCAGCTCAACAGCACATAACAGAAGCAACAGCCTACTGCATCAGCTTTTCTAATATGTAGTAGGATTATTTTACCAGTTGTTCTTGTTATGTTCCATCAAGTCACCTGCAACTCATAGCGATTCTTTCCTGAGCCAGTCTTATTGATTCCAACACATATACCCCTGTTGCCCCATTTACTGTATCAATCCATCTCATTCAGGACCTTCCTCTCCCACACTGTCCCTATACCCTTCTGAGCATGATGTCCTTTCCAAGGGCAGGTCCTTCCTTGCTGTGTGCCTAAAGTATGTGAGACAGAGCTTACTCTCCTAAATATTCATACATTTTTAATGTTTGGGGAAGATGACTGATTTTACCACCAGTTATCATCCAGGATATACTGATTTATGGCACTTTCATGTGTTTTAGAGTAGCATCATAGTATTTTCAGTGGATGATACTCAGAAAGCAATCTCTAGATCTTTTTTCCAAAGTGCCTCTGGCTATCCTCAAACCTCATTTTCTTGATGTTAAATCTTATAATACATGATTGTGATATGTTTTACTATTTTTATAGGTCTTTGCTTAGAGTTATTCTAGCAAATTCATTAACTATTTGGACTGTCCAGGACCTTTTAAACTCGGCTTGAATGAACTGAAATTATGAGTTTTCACTTCTTATATAAGCACAGAAATAAAAAGAACCATAAAAGGGACCAAAGTATACTGTTATAGGCCACACTTTCAAGCTTAGTGCTTTATAGTAGAGTTCAAAAAAATGATGACAAAAGAAATAGAACATCAGAAGTAATAGAAAATATCAGGGAAGGGAAAATAAAATGGCTGTATAAGTTAAGTCTAGAATTTGATTGAATCTATCAATCCTTTTGGCTTCTGTGGCTTTCCTCCATTACATTAGTGCCAGAGGAGCTGCCTCACACTAGATATTTCTTTTGATTTCACTTACTTAAAGATATTAACTGATTACAGTTTAAAAAATTGAGAACCAGTCTGTAAACTTCTACATGAGCAATAATGAGTCTTCTTTGAAAAAGACCTTTCCACCCTTTTAGAACCAGTGAATTAACTCAGAAGTACACCTGCCCCACCCCACCCGGTGTGGTTACTTTCTAGAGTTGATTATATTGCATTACATGGGTGACTTAAGTAGGGACTGCCTAACTTTGAATTTTACAAATGTGCAATATTTTGTGCAATTTATTGTCATGGGTTGTTGTTTCTTTTGTACACCAGGGTATCTTCTATGTATAATGTTGACAGGACCTTAAGAAATATGGGCATAATAATTTCCCAGTTACTAACTTTCAAAAACTATTTCTTTATAACAGAAAAAATATTTATTGTAAACAATTAGATACTGATAAAAAGAAACAAAAGCTTAATAGTAATCACATAATCCAAAGAAGATACTGTTTAACATTCCAATATGCATCCTTCTACCTTTTGTATGTGCATAAACTCAACTTTTGTTATGAAATACATACATGTTTTCATAAAAATATAATATTGCATATACTTTTAAAAAATGTTGCCTCTCTTTTTTGTTCATTATTATTGATATGTGCCATTGAGTCAGAACAAACTCATAGCTGGCCCTCTGGCAGGTTTTCAGAGAGTTTTCTCATAGGAGGAAACTGTCCATCTTTCTTTCACAGAGCATCTGGTGGATTCATACCACACACCTTTGGGGTTCCAATGCAATTTCTTACCACTAAGCCATCAGAGCTCCCTTAGATTTATATAATACTTACTATATGCCAGACCTTGTTCTGAATACTTTTTACATAAATCAACTCATTTATTCCTAATAAAAATTATATGAACTAATTGCTATTATATTTGTTCTCAATTGCCTGTACTAGAAAATTGAGGCCCAGAGAGATAAAATGTCCTTCCCAGGACAAGACAGCCATGAAATGACAGATACCGGATATGAAATACTGGATATTTTTTTTTATGCTAGACACTACTCTTTACTGCTTTGTTGTTATATGCTGTTTTGTCGCTTATGACTCATAGTGACCCTAATGTGTATGAGCTCTAAACCCTGCTCTATCCTGCGCCAACCTTACTGTCCCTGACTCACCTACTCCCATTACCCCAATCACTGAATTGATCCATCTCATCGAGGGTCTTCCTCTCTTGCGCTGTCCCTCCACCCTCCCAAACATGATGTCCCTCTCCAAGGACTCTTCCCTCCTTGCAACATGCCCAAAGTATGTAATGTTAAATAATGCTCTCAAACTTTAATCTACATACAAATTGTCCAGGAACATTAAGATTTAGACCCCAGAATTTGATCCCAGAACTTTGAGTTGAATCTAGGAAACTGATTTTTTAAATTAGCATTCTGTGGTTCAGATGCACATTATGGAGTGTCAAAAGAAGAAGCCTGTCTTGGAAGGTCAGCCAGGGTGCTCTGTCTCATGTATTTTGGGCATATTATCAGGAGTAGCCAGGTCCTGGAGAAGGACATCATGCTTGGAAAAGGAGAAGCTTAGTGAAAAAAGAGGTGGATTGACAGAGTGACTGCAACAAGGGGCATAATCATAGGTGAGATTGTGAGCACAGAATCGGTCAGGGTTTCATTCAGGTGCATGAGGTTGGTGTGAATCAGTTATTACTCAGTAGTGCCTAACAATAGCAACAACAAAGTTAATTTTGTTCTTTCATATGTAAAGGATGTCACAGTTTTTCTTAATTTGTAGAATTTTACAACATGAGTTGAAGCCTTTCTCCACCTCTAAAATGTCATTTTTTTAAAATTAATTTCAATGAACATTTACAGAAATTTTGGATTTCCATTCATTCATTGTTGCGTAAAATGCCATTTTTAAAAATTATTACCTAAAGTCTTCTGTTTGCCCTAGGTTTTCTGTCTTGTCCTAAGAAAGCACACTGTTGTAACTTGTTACTGCGTAACAGATTTTCAATATCTAGTCAGGCATATCCTCTGTCTTAGCAAACAGTTGTGTTTTCAGAAAGCTTTCAGAGTTATTTTCAGAAAGTTCTTTAAAAAGAAACTTAGTGAAATATATGGACTTTTAAAGGAAACTTTTATAAACAGACTATTAATTTCACTACTCAAAGGTTAAAAAAGAACAAAAACTTAAGAAAGGATTGATGTATCCACACTGACTTTTGTTAACTTTTTTTAACAGGGGAAAAGAGAAAAGCTTCATTATCGAAAAAACTTTATTCTCAAAGCACTTCCAGTCACAGACCACAGTCACCAGCTTGTTGGAGCTTCCTCATGTACTGAAGAATTTCAATCCCATTTTATTTTTGTAAGTAAAATTATGTACTGAAGTAATGTTGATAATTTTTAGACAAGTATATTCCTCCACTAGAATATAGCTAGAACTAGATAGAGGTTTCTCTTTTTGAATTTTTTTTAACATTTGATATCACAAAATAATACTGCTTTCTAGGGTCATTAAAATTTTTAGATATGTACCAACAATGTAGAGATAATTAATCCTTTAGTCTTTTGGGTTTTTTTTTTTTTTAGGAAATAAGACTTTTAATTAGCATATCTTTAAAAGACACAAAGGCTGGCATCCAGCTGCCTTCTCCTGGTGACTCTAGCTGACAATTGTCTCCACTAGACACAAACAGTACTGTAACATTCAAACATTTGTTGTTGTTATCATCCAGTCCACCCGAACTCGTGATGCTCTTACATAGAACAGAACAGACGATGTCCAGTGCAGAATCATTGCCACACTCATTGTTATTTTCAAGTCCATTGCTGTATTTTCATGTATTTTTAATGTCTTCCAACCTAGGGAGTCATCTATAAGCCCTTTTCTTTTTAATGTTTTTCTTTCTTTTTTTTTTATTTTAATGAAAGCTTACAGAGACTTTGGATTTCTATTCATTCATAGTTTCACACTTTCTTCCCTGCTCACCCCTCCCCCAGTTCACTTTTCTCTTTGAAAAGTTAAAAAAAACAATCTTTCATCGTTATACAATCCTCACATGCACACACACACCCCAACCCCTGCCAGTTCACTCCACTATGCAGCTTTCATTCTGGACTCTTGTCATGAAAATAATACCTAATCATATATTCCTCCTAAACACTTCTCTCCCTCATCTGTTTCAATGCAGTATACATTATTTATCCCCTCTTAGTTTCCCCCCAACTCCGATGTCAATTCCAGTTTACAACAGTGTCACTATACAGTATTTGTCCTTTTGTGACTGAGATATTTCACTCAGTATAATGTCCTACAGGGTTACCCAATTTGTATAATAATTCATGAGTTCCTTGTTTTTCAATGCAGAATAGTATTCCATTGTGTGAATATACCACAGCTTCTCTATCCATTCATTTGTTGATGGTCACTTAGGTTGTTTCCAACTCTTTGTTATTATGAGCAAAGCAGCAATAAACATGGGTGTGCATGTATCTGCTTGGGTGGCAGTTCTAGTTTCTTTAGGGTATATTCCCAGTAGTGGAATTGCTGGGTCAAATGGTATTTCTATATCCAACTTTTTGAGAAAGCACCACACTGTCTTCCATAGTGGTAATACCATTTTACACTTCCACCAACAGTGAATAAGGGTTCCAGTTTCTCCACAACTTCGACAGCGTTTGTTTACTGGTTTTATATATAATTAGAAGAACATTTTGGCAGAGATATTTCTACCAAAAATAATAATCGTGGATTTTTCCCTTTAAGTACTATATCTTGTATGTGGAAGTAGATAATTTGAAAACGTCTTTAGATTTTCATGAATAATTATCCTGTACCTTACGGAGTGATAGTATATATCATTGCCTGATAGTATTAGAGCCAGGTCTGAAATCCCTATCTATTTGGCCATCTTGATTATTATACTATTAGGAAGCTCTGAAGGCTTAATGGTAAGGAACACAATTTGAGTTTACCACCTGTTCCACAGAGAAAGATAGGCAATTGCCTGGACAATTTACTGTCTCTGAAAACTCAATGGAGTGTGAACTATGA